CTGACACTGAATGGGAACTGACTAACTGCCACTGGGATCCCAATGACACTAAGACAGTGTTCGGTGCTAATAAAAAGCACTGACACTGTACTAATGACACTGGGCAGGAAGGGGGGTTAACATCTGGGGTGATCAAGGGGTTAATTGTATGCTGTTTTACATAATATACTGTGTGTGTTTTACTAGTGAAACATGCTGCTGTGTATTTCTCTGCTGTGCAGAATAATACACAGCAGCATATTTTTGCTGGCAGGAGAGAAACCTGTGTTGTTTACACAGGTCTCTCTTCTGTCTGTGTTACTTAGCGATCGATCACTGGGGGACCCAGTGATTAACATCTGTAGGTGCCAATGGTGGCGCGGGTAGGGCGGCAAACGAGCCCCCTACCCAGAAATGCAAATAACGTATATATACGTGATTTTGTGCAGCCCTGCCACCCTGCAGCAGTAGTTCTACTATAGGGTGGTGGGGAAGCGGTTAAAGTGGTAGTAAACTCCATTTTTTTTGTTAGATCTAGAGATAAGCCTATATTAAGACTTACCTGTAGGTACAGTGAATATCTCCTAGGGCTCGTTCACACTTGACTAATTTTCTAACTCTTGCCAAAGGCCCCTATAGTGTTTGACAGGCATTAGACTGGCATTTGGGAAGTGTTTTTAACGCTCCTAAAATGCTCCCCAAATGCCCTATGTGTGTTTTTGAGTCTTTTGATAGGCATTTAAAACCGCACCACAAACGACTATAATGAAGTGTAATGGTATTAACGCTCCGCAAATGCCTTGCAAATGCCCCGCAAACGCCTGCCAGTCATTTAAAGAGCTTCACCATAGACTTGAATGGGAGGCTTCAGCTCCTCCTGACTCCACATGAGGCGTCAATTTTGCAGGGATGGGACACTGTGTGCTGCCATGTGTAGAATTTTCATAGGCGTTTGAGGAGCATTAAAAATTTATTAAAAATAAATATTTTAAGATAAGTATTTCATAATGTGCTAATATGCAATGAATAAGCCATAGAGCTAGCACATTCTGCCCATTGCTTTGCATGGGATTTATTTATTTTTTCATGCCAGAGTTTACTACAGCTCAGGGGCGAACTGACAACTCATGGGGCCTAAGGGCAATAGGGGATCATGGGGTCCCTGTGTCCTCGCCCACACTCAAACCACACCCGCAAAAGCCTATGAAAGTTACCCGGGGCATCTCATGGGGCCCCCTACTGACTCCGGGCCCTCGGGCACTGCCCAAGTGCTCGAATGGTCAGTCCACCCCTGCTACCGCTTTAAGAAAATGCGCCATTGCCTATGTACTGTCCTCAGTAAACATTCACTTTAGTAACTCTACTGCATTTTCCTTTAGTTAATTATGGAGTAATCTACTAAAGGCAAATAGGCTGTTGACTTTCATAGGGAATGTGCCCTTAGCTCAGTGAATGTGGTGAAATCAATCAATCAATGAATTGCAAGGAAAATGTGAATTATTTGATGATGGAAATCAGCAGAGTCTCACCTCTCATTCACTGAGCTAAGGAAAAATCCCCTTGCAAAGTGAACAGCCTATTTGCCTTTAGTAATTGAACCCCTATGGCTTGTATTCATTTCCCAGTTATTTTAGCTTGTAGCTTGACATTAACAAAAATCCCAATTAAATGACATTCAGGTAGGTTTGTAGAATTATTTATTTATCTATGAGAGGACAGATAAGGAAGGGGATTAATGAGGTATTAACATTCCTAGATTGTGTTTCTAAACACCTAGACATATGTTTTTCAATACACAACATTTTGTCTTATGTTCAGCATGTGTGGGGACAATGCTGTTTAATTATTTCATACTGTGCCTGGATATATATCTGTAAACACGGAAATACACATTCTAAACATGTCACTATGTTCATGTGAGAATGAGCATAAAAAAGCAACCTGATTGTCAATGCAAAAAAAAAAAGTTGAAAGCAGGACTGAAGCCCCTTTCTCAACAACAATAACCCTGGGAGCATGCGCAGTGAGCTTGTGGAAGTGTGACGTCATAGGGCCAGGCGTGCTGCTTCTTAGCTGAGCTATATAAATGGATCTCACTTTTAACTATCATTGGTGACTTTCCTAGGCAGATCAGGCGCTGAAACCACTTCTTGTCTTTATTTAGCTCTATTACTATTATTTTGGTAATGATTAATGAATTAAAGGGGATCCATTCATCCAGCTTTGTACATTAGCTATCACATCATTAAGGACATTTCATAATGGTGGAAAATGTTTATCATGCACGTTAGATTGTTGAAAAAATAGGGTGCCTGTTCTATATACCCGTTCTGTATTGTAGATGGGTGTGCAGTGTTTAGTGGACAAATCTGGGCTCTGCCATTGTAAAGGGAGACAATGTGAAAGCTTGCAGCAAATCCTGGCCTGGAACCCTCACTGCTCACTGGATCGGGTTATGGGAGCCACAATGCAATCTTATGTACACGATTTTCATAGACATTGTAAACGCTTCATCAAAGGGTCCAGAGTTACCACCATTTACAATTTCTTGGTCCTTTGACATTTTCTCCCAGATCATTTCTACAGAAAGCAGTTATAGCAGAACTACAAATCACATTGAAACTGTATAAACACTATCATTCCCTGACTACACTATTAGTTCTAATATTTATTTAGTAATATTATTTCCAGTTGGCATAAAACCTATGGCAGGCTATCTTAATGCAAATAAAACAGATCGTATCGTCAGAGCCTAATTAATGGTTGTTTATTTAAAAGGGGGCTGATTTACTAAATAATTTGCTTCCTACCCAGCCTGATAGCATATCCAATACCCAATGGGGTTCACTGGAATTAAAAAATGCTTTTATCTGAACCTGATTGGGTGATCAGGTCCTTGATGTGTGCACAAGCTTAGGATAAAAAAATGACTGATAAGGATATATATATACATATATATATATTATAATAATATACATGTATTATTATCATTATTCATTTTATTATTATATTGTGATATGCCCTTGTATTATTATTGTTATTGTTGTTGTATATAGATACAGCGATTATATATTATGTTCCTAATCTGCATAAATAGTTAAAAATAGTTTGAATTTTATTAAGGAGAACTCAGTTTTGCTAGAGGTACTATCATGGGTTAATCGTGCTTTGGACTCTCAGATAAAGAACATAGAATTTTGGCTCTGGATTTTATTTTAGTTTATTTTTTTTATTTCTCTTTGATTTGGTGGGATCTGCTGGAGATTTCCATAGAAGGACAAGTCCTTTGTCTTACTGTCAGCCCCAGAGCCGGGGAATCTGCGCTGAGAATGGCGCACTTCAATGAGGATTCTAATGCATATAACACATAACTATGAAAGGAATTCGTCTTTTTTTATACCGCTCGCTCTCTCTGGAATTCCTTTGTGCAAAACATCACTTCCAGTCAAACAAGGAAGAGATCATAATAAAAAAAAAACAGTAACTGTAACATTACAATAATTGCTACTTTAGTAGGAAGAATTATTAGGCACTCGAAATTGTTACAATTGATCTCCGGTACAATAAACAAAAAGCAAAAAAAAAGACTAAAAATATATGATCCTGCAAATATAAGATTTAATTAATAAATGTGTATAGTTGTGTTTTGCTGGTAATTGAATAAACTGTAAAGTGAAGAGAGGGTTAATGGTATGTAGCTGAGCATTGTAGGAGTGAAGGTTTCCCCAGATATGTAGGGCAGAGTAGGGCAGGCTCGCTCCGTATTGCAGCAGCCGCAGTAAAAACCGAGCTGTTGTTTTAATAGGGCAATAAAAATGAATTATGGCTGAACGCCTTCTAGCGCGAGGCTTGTGGAATGGAATCCCCAGTCTAGTGCAATACGTAAGAGGCTTTTTTGTATTTGTGTGTGCGTTCCTGCAATTGATCTCCTTGATGACATTCTCATTCATAGAAAGCATTTGATTTATGAGTTTAGGAAGAATTGCAAACAGCATATCTTGATATTATTGCCTAAGCAGCCAGCATGGGGAGAGCTGAGCAAAACAAACAGCGTTTTGAGTATGTATATATAATTATAAATATATATATATGTGTATATATATATATATATATATATATATATGTTTGAATTGATAATTATACCTTGTTGCCAGAACATTCGAGATGAGCCATTTGCAGTGGGGGGAGGGGGCTGCTGTTTAATTATACTAACTTGTAGGAGTGCGGTTGTTTTTATGTATTACTTTTAGCATTTTGCTTCTACTTACTGACATTTTCTGTTTTAAACTATTTTCTCTCCTAGGCTAAACTTTATGGGATCTTTCAGAATTGAAATCGTATTACCGAGCAAGAAGGCTATTTACTTACACGTTTTTTAAGCGTATTAATATTTTTTTTTAATTGCATACTAATATATATTTTTTTATTAACCATCAAAACACTTATTTCCTTTTTCTTAACTATTTTTATGCCTATGATGTAAAGCTACTGGAGACAATTAAACGACTACTCCTCTGTATTGTTTTTTTTTTTTTTTTTTTTTAGCAAAATAAAGACAAATTAAAAAAAATATATGATATGTGCATAAAAATCTGCAATAAATATTTGGTTCTATACAGACATTCATAAGTGTTGGTGGTATTTTTGATTGCTTCCTACCAAACAGGAAAAGAAATAAAGCTTTTGATATTTCGGGAGGGAAACTAAAAAAAAAAATGAAAAGAACCTGCGGGGTATAATGATATAATCATTTATTCTACCAAAATACTTATATGACAACCATGTAATACAAAAATAAAAAGAAAGTGAAGATACATTTACATATGTAGTCACTTTCTTAGAGGCCTCATTTATTGCTTTCCAATGATCTAGGTCAACAGAAATTAAAATGCAAAGGTCATTAAATACTGCAATGGCTCTTCGACTCGATTAGAGGGCAAAAAAAAAAAAAAAATAAAGGAGAAACCAATTTTTGAACAGAAAAAAAAAAATCAGCTTCTTTTTTTTAATTGTGCGGGATATCAGTAGTTCAAATGCTGCAAGTCAATGGTGGTAAAAGTATCTGTGAAAAAATCAAAACTGTCTGTTGAGATATCTACTGGACTGTCTAGAGATCCTGGCAGGCTGGGGGACACCGTGTCTGAGAGCTGAAGGCAGGAATCTGAGGAGAAGACGTTAAAGTCTGATAGGGAAGCCACATCTAGGCCCTCAGGACTGTCATTGTGGAGGCCAGCTGTGGAGTCCTGGCTCATTGTTGACGATAAACAGTTCTGAACAGTGGGTGACTGGTGCTGAAAATGTCTCAGATTTTTGTCATTGCTGGATAAAGGCGATACTGGGAAAGTCTGAGATTCCCCATGGTGGGAGTTGGGAGCCTGCTGCTGGGACAGGGCGTTCTGCTGGAACGTGTAGCTGTCCCTCTCCAGCAAAGCCCCAGAGACATTACTGAGAGCCTGCTCAAACAGGGACTTCTCCTTGTCGCCGTCGACTGGGTCAGAATCCTCCAAACTTTGACATTTACCTTCCCCATTCTGGTTCTCCTTACATTGAGTCTGCCTTTTGTGCTTCATTCTCCTGTTCTGAAACCAGACCTTGACTTGTCTCTCGGTTAGATCCAGCAAGGCAGCAATCTCCACCCTCCGAGGTCTGCACAGATACTTGTTGAAATGGAATTCTTTCTCCAGCTCCAGAAGCTGAGTGTTGGTGTAAGCTGTCCTTAACCTCCTGGACCCTCCGCCACTGTTATCCTGAATTTCAATGATTTCTGTAAAAGCCAACAACACAAAAACACACTTGATCACTTTTTAAATACAAAAAAAAATGCACAGATCGCTTTTCACTACTGCAACAAAATGGCCGACCTGGGTTGCAAACTCCATTGTGTGCCTGCAAGAGTTTTATCTCCAATACAAAGTAATAAATTATTGTTTTTAAGTATTTGGG